CATGAGGTGCTGCCTTTAATACAATGCTTGGCTTCTTTATTTATTCTTGCTCCTTGCCAAGAAATGACAATTGAACAATTAAGGCACAAAGCAGAGAGGGTTTAGCAAATCATGAACTGTTTTTAATTTGCCTCATTAAGCTGCTGTTAACTACTTAAAGCCATCTGCTTAAAAATAATTTGCACATCTTAAGTTTGCTCTAGAGAGCAGGTAGACCTTCATTAGAACAGGCTTCATTATTAAAGTTATCTTTAGGGGGCTGTCAGTTGTTGTGGGAAACATGCTCACTGAACCAAACTTTCCCTGTAAACAAAACAAAGTGGCACATGTTGGTAACTTGCAGTCTGTGGCCATAACCATATTCTTGGGAACTAGTGCCATTCATGTGGAAATTGGCTTGCTGTGGAGGAAGTTATTTACAGATATTAGGTACGTCTGGGTATGACAAATGAGGATGAGCTATGGGAATGCATAGTATCCATGGTATCTACAACCGTCCTCAAAAATTAGTCCTGAAGAGAAAGAGTAGACAGACCAGTCTCAGTGCCTCACCTGTCACTGAGGAGGGGGAGCCTTGTTGCCTATGCCTTGAAGAGCTGTTTGCAGTAAAAAACCTGTTTATTTGTTTCCCCAGATTTGTAAAGAAACAGTTTCACTTACAGAGAACAAATCACTGGAGCTCTGCAGACCCTGCCTCCTCTGGGGCTTAGATCCAGTGGCATTTCAGCGAGACTGTGTGCCCTGTCTGACCTCCTGCCTGTGCTGTGGTTTAGTGCTGTCCTGCTTCTTGTCTGGGAGACTGTGTCAGCAGTGAGCTCATGGGTTGCTGATACCAATAAGATCATTTGGAATGAAACTATCTTTGGAATATTAAATAATGATGGTGTGAGGTTGTAAAAGAAGGTCCCCGTCTCAGTCTGTGGGAAAGAGGTAGATCTGGTTTTCGGCATATTAGCTGAGACACGATATGTTACTAAGCACAGATATTTTATCAATACCTTAAAAACTCATTAAAGTATTGCTCTGAGATTGATTGGTTTGTTGTTCATTGAGGGTTTTTTGTTTACAGTTGAGTGCTGTTTATTAAGAAGAAAAATGCCAATATTTAACAGGATGAAGACCCTTTGTAGTAGCTGAGCAGAAATATTGCTGTGAGCTTGGAATACCGTTGTCTTTCTATTAAGGTTTTATATGTCTCTTTTTGGGAAGAAGAATCCTTACAAACAGACTAACTGCACAGGTTTGCACACAATATGCTTTCAAGTGTGACAAACCAGAAAAAATATAGGGTCTCTTGTAATTGCTTTTGGTTGCAAAAGTTGAAGGCATTCTTTCCAACTGCAGTTACCGTGTCTTTTAGTTTGAAAAGAATTCCAAAGCAATTCTTGACTGGAATCCTTTTATGTTTGCCCAGTCATCTGGGCCTACATTTGAAAAAATGCAGAATGAAGAAATTACCCAAATTTGTCTTGATTTGAAGGAATGAGTGTTCTAAAAATATATACATTGAACAGAACATGTGGCTTCAGCCACATTTGTTGTGCTATCAAGAACTTCTGTTCTTTTTGCTATATTTGTCTTAATCTAGAATGAATTCTACTCCAGGATTTCACTGGAAAACAGCTCATCAAAAACAGCTCAAAATAAAAACCTTTACATGACAAAGAGCTAATTAAATGATTCTTGTAGATCAAATTTGTGAAAGATCGAATCCATTTTTAAATGTTCAAAATGCTTTTGCTTAATGTTTGTCTTCTCAGTTGTTCACTGAGGAGTACCCAGTGTCAAGATGCTATTGTAAGCTCAGTTATTCAAATCACAAGTTATTCCTTTTTAGTACTCTGGATTGACACTGAAGGCTAGGGCCAGTGTGAAAACATCAGTAAATTTTATGTGGAAAACATTTTTATGAGCAAAACATTCTGAGTTAAGCTGACTTGAATCTTTGAAGCCATCTGAGCTATAGCTCAAAGAGCAGGAGAAAGTGATAACCACCATGGACCTTCTGATAAGTTTGGATAGGGAGGTTTGCTTTTAGGAGAGAATGATATGCGATGACCCAGTTCTGCAGTCTTCACCAGTTATATATTTGCTAAGGAATCTTGAAAAATATTTCTTTAGCATTTCTGCCCTAGGTGAGACCAAATTGTCAAAGACCAGCAATCTGTCGCAAACTGTGTTTTAAGTAATTTCTACTTATAGTTCTTATAAAGTTCTAAAGCAGCAAATTCTGCTTTAGCAGACACTAGCAGAAAAGCTGAAGAAGACCATGCCAGAGTGCAGTTTATGCAGCTGCAGAAGCTGGAAAACTCACTGTGTTTAAATCTCAGTTCAGCTGCTGCATTGGCCTCCTTTTCACTTCCATCCCCTTTTGGCTATTTTTGTGGATGGGGAGGGGACAGGACATAAAGACAGCTGCATCTTGATGTGGCCAGCTCCCCTGAAATACCATCATGTGTTCCCGCCAGAAATATTTCATATGTCCTTCTCCTGCTGCTGAAGAGAAGGAACAGGATCCCTTTGCCTTTTTTGACAGGTCTTCCCTCTGGTCCAGCTGTGAAAGGCATCAGCTGGGGAGTGGAGTAGCCCACTGCTGAATGAGAGAGGAGCCTTGAAAACTCTGGGCTGGTCAGAGCTGGAGTGAGGTATGCATAAAAGGAGCAAGGAAAATGCTGCTGCTGGGAATTGGAAGGCCCTTGAAAGGCCTTAGTTTCTTACCATGTGCTTGTCTGCTTCTGAATGGGAGGAGGATCTGAATCCAAGAGGCTTGAGCAGCCCTGTTCTCTGCACGAAGAAGGTGCAAAAAAGGCTGTGGTAGGGGATGGCTCTAAGTTCTGTGTCCCCCAGTCTTTCTGGTGCCTGTGTTCCCTATACTCTTGGCTAAGATGAGAAGCAATGTGAAGGAGGAGAGCTGCTGACAGAAGAGAAGGACAGTTCTCAAATGACTGCCTGGAGAAGTAGTCATGAAATGGGACATGTTGCTGATAATTGACTTTTGAAAGACACCTGGAATGTGGATTTCTCTGTTTAGGAAATGAACCTTTTCTGCTCATCTTCCTGCTCTTTCCTGTCCCACTCCCAGCTGGAGCTACTACGAGAACACTGCTGAGGGTTCAACAGCCTGTCCTTGTTGGGACCTGAGTGCATCTGTCAAGGAAATCTGGCTAAGGATCATCCCTTACTCAAATGACAGAGCTCAGCTGGGGACAAGGCAGCAGCTTTACAGAAGTAGTTTTAAACTGTCTCTTGTGAAGTCAGTCCCTGAGCAATGCTGGCATGAATTGTAGCTTTGAAGTCTTGGGATAGTTTGGATTTTTTTTATTTTTTTCCTGAAAACCACAGATCCTTGTTTCTTGTGTCTGCTTAAGAATGTAACTGTAAATCGAAGGAATGATTTCTAGCCCTTGTGTTTGTGTAAGAAAGTGACTCATGACCTGAATGTCCTCTTATAGCTCAGGGTGAGAAAGCTTATGAAAACTCATAATCACTGAGTAACTGGGTGTGAAAAGGCAGTCAGGAAAAGTCTGAGGTACAAAAGAAGGGCATGAAGTAATTTGCTTCAAATTCACAACTTGAAACGAAATGGGAAAGCTACAGACTCTCTACTTGCTCCTTCCTTTGTTTAGAAATCCATTTTTAAGTAGCAGAGGAGCCAAGAGGCAGCTAGAAGAGTTAGGATAGCAGCATCTACCAGCTCTAACCTCCTACTCACATCTTCAGAGACAAGCAGACATGCTGTGGTAGGGTGGTGCTTGGAGGAAAAAAGAACAGAAGGAGAGCTCAACCTCTCTTTTGCACCTTTATCCCAGAAAAACTGTGAATAATACCACTTTTTGAGGTATTTTGTAAAAGGAAGTGTCATATCTTTTCTTCACCCAGTAAAAGGGTACTTGCATGACTCAACCAGCCATGTTTAGGGCAGTGAATTTCTGGCATTGTGACAATGTTGGTGTTAAACATTTCCCTTGCCTAGCTTCAGGAGTCTAAGACTGTTCTGGTGCTGCTGTTCTGAGAGCTGTAACATTAGGAAAGAGAAGGTTTTGTGTATTCTGGTTGGAGTCACTTATTAAATCTCACAGAGTGCTGCTTTTTGAATGAAGAGTGTACTGAGTGAGTGCTTACCCTGGTTGGAGCAGGAGCTGCAAGGCTGCCAGACCATCAGTAGGCTTTTTGTGGGGAAGTATGATAGTTCAGCCAAAGAGAAATACAGATAGTTCTCAAGTGGTCTATCAGCACAGAATAGCAGTGGCACTATTTGTGAAAGGCAACCTCTGCAAGGGAACAAATAAAATAAAATAAAAAAAGGGGACAAAGAAGAAATCTGTGTGTTAGGAGGTTCAGTTTATGTGCTGGTGGATTCTAATAGTGAAACACTCTTACCCTGTGGCACATGGCGCAGCTTCTCAGGCACAGTGGAACAGAGCAGGGCTTGTGCTGTACACTGCAAAGGCACCTTGCTTGCCTTTGAAAAATAATTTCAATAAGAACATTTAATTTAGGGAATTCATTAGTCTGCTGAGTAACTACCCTGTAAGAAATAAAAATCTGCTGGAAAGATTGGATTCTGTGTAGTTAATGAATGAGTTTGTAGCCAGCCACATGACCTGGTTACATCCTGGATACAGAGGTCTTAGGAGGTTTTCTACATGCTTTTTTCACATATACCTTAAAAACCCAAAAACTAAAACCCCCAAACCCTGGCAGTAAAACAATTAGGTTCTTTGGAATGCAGTAAAAACAGAGGTTAAAGTACATTTTTGATATGAGGCATAGCCTGTGCTGAATGGCAAATAGGGAACACATACAGAAGGTTCTATGCCTGTGATGTAAGTTTGGAGGGGAAGGAGCACAGTGCAGCTTTCTAAACAGGCTAAAAATGTTTATAATTCTGCAGAAGTAGGCCTTAAAAACACAAGTTTATGTTTTGAATAAATCTAAGGTGCTATTACATAACTTCAACCTTTTTTTTTGTTGTTTTCTTCCCTCTTTCCCTTCTACAGATCACACATCCGTGGGCGGGCTGGGAGACAGTTTTTATGAATATTTATTGAAAGCCTGGCTTATGTCAGACAAGACGGACACGGAGGCAAGGAAAATGTACGACGATGCAATTGAGGTGATTATGATTCATTGAGTTTTCCAATACAGTGGAACAATCTTTAATGATTTTAAGGAAATGAAATTAAATCAAAAAAAAAGAAAGCTAGGGAGAAAAACCACCACCAACCACAGGACTTGTTTTGATTATGTAAGTTTTAAGAAATCAAGTGATGAATAATACTAGCTTTCACTTTGAGTAGTTTAAAAAGTATTATTGTGGAATACATGTGATGCAGATTATTGTGCTAAAAATAATCAGCTTTCCCAAATGGTACAATGTAAAAGCCCAGGCTCTAATTTATTAGAAGGAGATCTAGCAACCTTGAGATGTGTGCAGAACAACCAAGTCACTTTTTTACAATGTTGAGAATTCATCATTCTAGGACACGAAGTCCCAAATTGTTTTATTCTTTACATTATTTTCTAGGGCATTTACATGTTATATTCCATATTTACCTTGCAAAATGCAGTTCATATCTATTCCTGTTTCTATGGCTCTTTTGTGCTATGGTCTTACTCCCTGTCACAGACAAAGTGCTTGCCTAAGCAGGGCAGTACTGCAGATGGTTCAGTGGGATTTGGGGGTTGGTGGCCTTTCTCTGGTGGCTCTGAGCTTTTTGCTGCCCAGCTGTTACTTTCCCAGTTTCCCCATCTTCTCTCAGCAGCCTCTCACAGTGGTTCCCACTGTGCCATCATTCCCCTACTACAGTTTAGAAACATAAAGAGTAACTGAGCTGGTCTGAGTGAGCTATGGTACCAGCAGCAGCAGGGGCTGTGTAGCCTTGTCCCAGTGCTGATGTGAGGCTGGTGCCTGATGTGTTCCAGGCTCTGTGCATGTCCTGTTGCTTTCAATGTAAGTTTTTACAGCTTAGTTTTAGTGCGATCGGTCTTCTAAAGCAAAACACCTATTCTTGGAATTCTCAAAATTCACATTTTACAAGATATATGATGAAAATTCTAGTACAAAATTGCTTTGAAGCTGTAATATGTCTTACTCCTGACCTGAATTTGATTACATTTGACTTCCAGCTGCTTTGACTTTTCCCTTCTCTACATTGTTTTAAAGGGTTATCTGCACCATATAGTTAGTTACTATCAAATGTACAATAGACATTCTCTCCTGAAGGAAAAGTGCCTTTTTTTTTTTTCTGGGTCTCACAAGATAAAACAGATTTTGGATTATTTCTTAAGCGTTTTTCTATGTATTTCCCAGTATCTTCAGTATGGAGATAGCAATGTTCTTCTAATGTGATTCTTCTTCTAACTGATTCCTTCTTGATTTTATCCTCTTCATCCAGCCAGAAGCTCTGCTTGTGTTCTTAACCTTTGCCTCATACCATCATCCACTTTCCAGTTGCTTTATTCTGAAGCTGGTTATAATCTTTTCGATTTACTGCTTTCCTACCACTGTGATTTACATTCCTGATTCCTCAGTGTTTGACCTTACACTTATCTCTATTGCAACACATTGTTCAGGCAAAACCCGTTTTGTCACCTGCTCTCAGTGATTTTACAGAACTGACTTTTCCTTTATCATTATCTATAGTTACATCAATTTTTGTGTCATCTGCAATTTTTTTTCTAGCATTTTTCTTGGAGATCATTGTTAGAAATACTGTCTGGTGTTGAATAAAGTAGCTATGCAGAATCTTCATGGGATAAGGATTTTTTTTATTTTTTTCACAATTTTTTTTTCTTGTTTAGGACTAATATTTTGTAAAATGCCAAGAAATTTTTGAAATCTCTAATATTTCTAGTATCAGCATACACATATCAACCAAACATTTATTTTTGAAACCACATCATTCATTTTATATAATTGTTTTATTAATTTTTTTAACTACTGATAAAGCATTGGCTGTTTCCCAGTCCTTTTGAACTTCCTTAGCTTTCCAGGGTTTGTTAAAATCTATATTACTAGTTCATAAATTACTTGTGTATTTTTAATAGGCTAAAATACAGTGTATGGGGGCCTGTGAGTTTAGAAGCTTTTAGCAGTTGATATTTAGCTTCCACTGTGGTTACTGTTGAAATATTTTACTCTAATTCTTAAACTGTGAACACTTCAAAATTAGAAGAAATAAACTCTCTTGTTCATCCTCTTCACTGTAAATCATCTTGCAAACATTTTATATGGGCACATCTCTGAATGGAGACAGAGCAAAGCAAATTTGGGACCATGTGAAAACACACTGTGGATAGGAGGGAGGAAAAGCCAAGCTGCTCCTTATTCATGTGTGATATATCCTGCAGTCCAAATATCAGAGAGTTCCTTCTGTTTTTTCTCAGCTAAACCCACCCTGTACATTTGAGTCTGCATGAATTGTACTGATTTATGTGCTGTGGAATTTATGTGCTGTTTCAGGGTTTGTGTCTCTCCCAGGTCCTACTTGACATTGAAAGACATAGGCAAAGAGTCATTAAGTAGGATTCGCTTTGTGTAACTGCAATTGGAATTTTTATTATAATTTTTTAAGAGGCCATTCCCTTACCATTCTTTTGTTTTTGCCTATAATGTAGGTCTTCCTCCATAGCTAACACTTCTTATTCTTTGTTTTTCAAAATGTGGAGCAGAAGCTGTTTGCATCATTTGTGCAAGCAGAAGGGGAAAGGTGTAGCATGCATTCCTCCCACTCACAGCACAGAGTTGGAAATGTTCTCAGCACCCACCAGTCTAAAAGAATGTCTCTGTCCAGCCACACTTCATTCCCTTATCTTATTACAGCAATGTGAGTGGAAGATGGACAACATAACCTCACTCCTAAGTCTTGCAGTAGACAGTGATATCTCATTCCTTAGAACCATCACAGGGAAGAAAAATGCATCAGTTCTTCAGATGCCATGGTTTCCAATCCATGGCATATGAAGTCTTATCCAGGTCACCACATACTTCTAACATGAATACAAACAATTTGTATATCCATAACCCCTCTGTATAACATGGGTGCAATCTTCCACTGTAAAGGACACGTCAATGCTATGTCCTAGTATGGAAATTCACAGCTGTGATAAAAGCTGAAGTTGTGAAACCTGTTGGGAATTTTTTGTGGTGATAAAAATTGAGGATGGGCCTCTTAACTTTGCTTTCAACATCATCATGTGGGTCTTCCAGCTAGTCTGGTTTCAAGTGTCTTTTTTTCCTTTTCACATCAGCTGGAGGATAGGTAAGCTTCTTTTTGATCTGCTGCCTTGAGTAGCCTAATCTGTAAGGCTCACAAATTTGATCTTCACTCTTTCTTACTGCACAGCATTAGGCAGCTAAAAGAAGGATTTGGCCGTGTGCTTGACTGTCACAACATAGCAAGTACTGCTGCAAGACAGCTCAGAAAATGCTATTTTTTGTAGTCATGAAAAGCACGTGAACTTCAGGGAACATTCAGGTTTTGCATAGAATGACAGAGTACCTTGAATAGCAGGGGACCCTCAGGAATCATTGAGTCCAGCTCCTGGCCCTGCACAGGACACCCCAAGAATCACATCATGTGCCTGAATGTTGTTAAAACACTTCCTGAACTCTGTCAGGCTTGGTGCTGTGGCCACTGCCCTGGGCAGCCTGTTCCAGTGCCCAGCCACCCTCTGGGTGAAGAACCTTCTCTTGCTATCCAACCTAAACCTCCCCTGACACAACTTCAAGCTGTCCCCATGCCTACTGTCACTGGTCTCAAGAGTGAAGAGATCAGTGCCTTTCCCTCCCCTGCCCCTCGTGAGGATGTTGAAGGCTACAGTGAGGTCTCCCCTCAGTCTCTTCTCTAGGCTGAACAAACCAAGTGACCTCAACCACCCCTGTTGCTCAGGCATTGCTCAGACTAAGGAAGCTCCTTCCATTAGTTAATCTCTTAGTTGATGTGAACTAAATCTTCTCTTTGGGAGTTGAGGTGTACACATCCACTCTGGTATGTGTATACTCCTTTTAGTCCAGCTGGATATCACTGCTTTGCAGTTCCTGTTGGAGTGCTCTGTGGCCTCAGCCATCTAGCTGAGGGTACAAATGCCCCACCTATCCCAACCTGCACCCCTGGGCAGTGTTCCCAGCAATGCCCAGCTGTCCCTTGTTAATTACTGTAAATACCAATTGTCTTTTTTTTTTTTTTTGCAGTATGCAGGCAGCAGGTTGTTGAACAATAAAGTATTTTGAGAGAGTTGCATTTATGTTCTTGAGATGCTTCCTTTGTGACTCTCAGAACCTAACCTAGTTATTCAGTAGCTGATAGGACTTGATTTTCAGATTACAAAAACTACCCCTTCTACCAGGCAGTTATTTCCAAGTTCAGAAGATGTGTTTTCTGCTCAGAAGAGGAGCATGTTGCACCTAGAATATCCTCTTCAGTCAAACTATGAAAGCAAATCCAGAGTAGAAGTGTAGCTTGTGGAGAAATATATAAATTTGGCTTTTGTTGGCTATCCTGGTGCTAGCCACAGTAATTTTGTCCCACTGGAAATGCTTCTGCAACCATTTGCTCCTCAACAGTTACGGAGTTATGGGAAGATACAATTCAGATGTCATTTAGCATTTGGAAAAAAATGCTTTCCTGTAGGAAATAAATAATCCATACGCTTTAGTGCCTTTCTGCTCTTCACAGTTAAAGTGGCTTTCCTTCAAAGAGTGCTCAACTTTAGTGTACCATATGGTCGAAAAACATCAGTTTTGTCACAGTCTAGAATAATGGAATCAACAGAGTTAGTGTTCCAGATCTTGATATCCTTTCCAATGGCAGTTTTCAGCAGATCCAATACTTCCTGTACCAGTACTTTCAGCCCAAATGAGGCCTGTACAGTTAACCACATCAGGCTCCTTAGCAGCAGAAGGCAGTCGTCAATACCCATTTGCCTGATGGTTAGACAGCCACCCTGGCAGCTGACAGAGACTTACTGGTTTCTACTCTGTCAGTTACTTCTGCCTTCTTCTCTCTGGATCCTGCCATGAGCACAATCCTCAGATCTATCCGTGGTATTAGTGAAGGAATTAACCCAACAGGAGTGCAGGCCAGCACTTCTCTTTCATTACTTTCTCACTGTCTAATGCTAGACATAGTAAATACTGAAGTAGGTTGGTGGGAATTGTGATCCTTTCTGAAAGAGGCTTAAGCAAATGTTGTTCCATCTAGTTTGCAAACTTTGGGAAGTTAAGTCAGCTGCTCTTCTAAGAGAAGGATACCTAAGTCACAAGCAACAGCATGTTTTGGTACAGATGTGTAAAAAGAAAGCAGCAGTTGCCTCACGTATAAAATAAAGGGTTTTTTTGTGATCAGCTGCTGCAACACCTATCATTTGAGAATGTGCAATCAGAAAGCTGCTATGGAGAAGCTAGAAGGTGGCTGGAGCATTCCTGTCACTTTCTATTAAAGACTGACTGAGGGTACAAGTTTGCATATGTTGCTGACCAAAAATTTCCAACCTGGTTGTGTTTTCTGAGTACTCACAGAGTGCACAGAGCTCTGGTACTTCCCAGAGTTAACAGTTTGACAAATACTCTTTGAGCCATAAAATAAGTGTTGAATTCTCAAGTAAAAGCACTGTATTGTCTCTGTTGTGATTTTCATATGTTAGATGTCATTAGCATTTTTAGCAGTTAAGGAGGGTTTTTTGTACTTTGAAATTATATTCTTATAGCTGTCTGTTCCTGTGGTGCTCAGAAGTGAATTTGAAAAAAGAAAATTATTTTTGTTTCGAAAGCCAGACTTTGCTTGCTAAAGGAAAGTTAATAAGTAAAGCTTGCATGTGAACAGCATTTGAATGTTCTCTTAATCTCTTTGTAGGCCATAGAAAAACATCTCATCAGAAAGTCCAATGGAGGACTGACCTTTATTGGGGAGTGGAAGAACGGGCATCTTGAAAGAAAGATGGGCCATTTGACCTGTTTTGCAGGTGGAATGTTTGCCCTTGGAGCAGATGGTTCCAGAGATGATAAAGCTGGACATTATTTGCAGCTCGGAGCTGAAATTGCACATACGTGTCACGAGTCGTATGACAGGACAAGTAAGACCTATTGTTAATCTAATTATTTCAATAGTTGGAATGCAGCAACTCTTGTAATTATTGTTAGGATTTGTTTGGACTCTGTCTAACATGCACTGGTTTTATACCAGTATGAATTTTTAACATCTGTGTATTTACTTCTGCTCTTCATCATGGTGAGTAAATCTAAACCCAGATTTTATGGTTCCTTCATGCATGTTTGTCCTCAGTTTTGCATCAGTCAGCTAAGATGGGTTATCTGGGTATGGTGAGGAAGGAATTTGTGTGACCTCTTGTCGTCACAGATATATAGGGAAGTTTTTCTTTCATATATACAGTTCTTACAGTTAAGTAGAGGGTAAAAATTGTAAATAGACTTTTTACTGGTTTTAGTAATAGTCCATTCTGAGAAAGTACAATTAAACAAGAGAGGATGAAGAGTATTGTGCAGACTGTGAGGACGCCAAAGGCCTGACTAGTGAGAAGGCAGCATCAGACTTTGTTAGGCTGGAAGCTTCTCAAGGTCAGTCTTTTGGACCAGGATTATGTTATAGTGACCTTGATGCTTGAAGTGTACTGAGTATGCTTAGGGTGGCCATATAGTTGTAGAACATAATTAAAATGGAAGAGTCTCAGAATAGTAATCAGGGACATCTTGAGAACTGGACTATCAGAAATAAGAAGTTTGCCAGAAAAAGTCAGGAGCTCTTTGTCGGAAGTGGGAGTTGAAAAATGTCCTGGTCTGTATCAGATGAAGAATTTTCAGCAAAGATTAGATAATATTAAGACTGCCTTAGAAGACATGTGTAATTTGTCACCCTGAATACTCTGTATAAATCTGAATTTCAAGCAGAACAAATGCAGAGAAGGACCAAGAGAATGAATAGAGTGACAGAGCTTTTATCTTACAGTGAGGAAAATATGAGAGATTGGCCTGCTCAGGCTAGAAAAATAATACCGAAGAAAGGAACAAATTTATTGCCATCTCAAGGGGTAAACACTGAAGAGAAATAGTTATTTTAGGATATAAAAGAACACAGTTGTAATGAGAGCAAGATTTTTAAGCTCGCTGTGCATAAGTGTAGGTTGGAGATTGGAAATGGTTTTGCATAGCTATCAGAGAAGTGAGTTTCTGAAATACCTTCCCAGTAGAAATAATGGTAACTATAACTTAAGCAGTTTTAAGATGAGAATTTATGTATTTATCCACAGGATTACATCATATCATTGTATAGTTGCCTGTCTTTCTAAATAATTCAGTCACAGAAGTGATAATTTTATTTGCATAAGCAACAGTTTTAAAAAAAGGAAAAGAAAAAATATGAGTATGCTGAAGAAAAAAAGGTAGGACATAGCAGCTATTGTTGCATTCTGAAAAATTGCATTTAAATGTTTAATTTGACATTTAAAAATAAGCAATGTTAAATTCACAGTTGTTTGAGCAGACCTAATTTTATTCCTTCAGATGTTTATTCTGTACCCTAAATAAGTCAAAAGATGGGGGAGATAAAAGTTTTGATTGCATATTTAATGACTGTATAAGAACGCATGAGCAAGAAAGACTGAAAGCTGTACAGACAGCTATAAATTTGCAATGCCCTTGTTCTCTTTTGTTCAGTCATGCAGTCCCAGAAATGTGGATTGTTTGTGTTTGGATGTTTTGGTTTTAATTTTCTGGCCTGATTTTTCAAAGGATATTAAGAACTTACGTATGCAAAATGTCAACTTCTTTGTTATGTTTCAACAGCAGGATTTGAGCAAAATGGTAGACTTTAATGGCAGAACTGGCTGATGGCAGAAAAAGCATCTTTAAGAGGGCAAACAGACATCCTGGTTCAGCTAATAGGTTTATGGTTCAGCAGGCAAAGGGGATTTCCTGATTTTTCTCCTATGGACATGGGAGAGCTAGCCCCATTGGGCATGCCCAGAGGAGGGAGAAGGATGCAGAGACTGCAGGCAGGGGTTAGGCAGCTCTTTCTTTAGATAAACCAGCAGAGCTGCCCTTTCCTGTGTCATCCCACAGCTGCTTGTAATAAACTACAGTAATGGTGATGTAATACTTCAGTATGAAAATACTACTTTATGAAGCAACCTAAATTTCCATAGCTGAGCTTAAGTCTCAGCAAAATTGAAACAAAATTTCACAGAAGAAAAGCATTTCTGGAAAATGAGGGCATTATATTGACAGCTATCATCAACCTGTTGCACATATTGCAGGTTTAAAAGCCTGTTAGAAAAAACAGCCTGATATTTCAGAAAGCTGGTTATTTTAGTACTGACTGGTACAGGGAAGCTGGAAAGTCCTTGAAACTATTCCTGATGTATTTTCTTGGGGATTATGTCCAGTGGCAACTGGCATCACTGCCATGTAATCGAGAAGTTTATGCAGGGATGTAGTCTCACTGATAATCTGAGTCACCTGTCAATGTTCCCCAGGAATACCTGAGAGAAGACCTTAGACTCCAGACTAAGATGCTGGAGAAGTGACTAGGTATGTTGTGAGAAGCTTGGGCCCTTGCCATGGCTCTGTGACAATCCTTGTAGATTCTGCTTGAGCTGAGGATCAGTCTGTAGCACTGCTCAAAGGATGTCTTTCTAATTCAGCAGCTGGAGGAGCCTGGTGGACTTTGGAAGGTGAAGGCAAGGGGTGCAGTCGTGGTTCTGGTCTGCCTCTGAGCAAGGGATCTGTGTTTCCAGGATCTATTCGGCATGGCAGCATGAGAGCCCCCTCCAAGGCTCTTCCCCTCTTCGGGAAATTGTTAATGCATGTGGCACCCCTTAGAAAGGATTTGAAAAGGCTTATTGATGGTCAATGAGAAAACTTAACTGTAACCAGAATAGTCTTATGATGTGTAGTCTACACATGCCTCTGCTTCCTACCAACTCTACTATTTTTTTGTACCATGAATTATCAATATATTAATGCTGTAGCCATCCTAAATCGCCCATCCTGTGACAGGAGATTTCAGGATTTTCCTGTAGTCCTGTGTGCTCTCAGTTTGAAGAGAAGATTGAGAAAAACAAGGGTAGGAGGCATATTCTGATCTGTGTGCTCATTTACCAGCAGAAGAAATCACAATGCTGTCAGTGGGCACTGGTAAGGCTAAAAAAATACAGCTTCCTGTGCTCATGGCACAAGGTTTCTTGATGTTGAAGCTTATGTGAGTACTGCACATCTTGAGGTGTTCTGGTTTCTGGCGATTAGTTCTTTGTTTTTTATGCTTAATGTGAACCACTGAGAAACATGGCACAGGCATAAAATAATTGGCAATGTGAAATCTGGAGATGGCAACAAAAAACAAGTTCAATGAAATCAAAGGAATGGAAAGATCACTAACAAATCAATCTGAATAATCAGCTTTCATAAGTATTGTAGAGGTTAGATAAATAAGCAAAATTATCTGTATATATGGCATTTGTGTGCTGATCTATAGCACACAGTATTTTTAGTACACTCTACCATCCCTTATGCATAAGAATTTTCCTAGCCATTAGCTGATAGTGTGTAAAGTATTGACTGACTACAGAGAGCTTATTTTAGGATGAAATTTTTTGCACTTCTTTAAAGTTTCTTGACAAGAGCTGTCCTCAGAATCGCAGTACAGCTTTAGCTGTTTTTTATGTGTGACAATTCTAGTGCAGAATAAGCCAGATGACTAAGATTTCAGCTGAGACATATGCAAGGGTATGAGTAGATGCTATCTCTGCCCCAAGACTTTCAGTAAGCAGCTAAACAGGCAAGGCTGAGGAAATGAGAATAATAACATGTTTTTGTGAGACGTATGAAATAGCAATGTGTTGATGGAATAGTTCAGAGTCTCAAAGAGAAGTGTCTTGGATGTTCTGTTCCTCCAATTTTGTATGAATTAGAGCCTAGCATGTATTATTATAACTGTGCATCCTTTCTTACTTTCGGAAATTTATTGTTAGATTGATCATAGTCTTAAAGAAACATACAAAGCAGACAACAATATTTTCAAAAATACTTACGGAATTAGAAATATTTATCTAAAAGTACAAAGATTTGCCCTTTTGTTGGCAGTGCTAAATACAGCTCTCATTGAAGTCAACTTTACGTCAGTTAAAATTTTTTTAAATGGTGGTTGTTCAGCTTTGCACTGGTATGAAATTGTTTCTCATCTACTCTCGCTGCCTAGACTATAGTCTGTCAGTGCTATTAATATGAAAATATTTGGATTATAATCCAAAATATTATCTGTGACCACTATAGCATTGTGAAATGGCCATAGATGGTTCTTGGCTTAGAGGAATGGCACCTGAAAGATACTGTGTCCATAATAGCTTCTTTTCTTTAGTCAGCTATCAGTTTTACATCCTTGGTTTCAGATAAGTATTTGGTGAAATCATCACAACATGCAGAGGTCACCCATCCTTGGGTGGTTTAATTTCTTATAGTGCTCAATAGCATTAGGAGTAGGTGTGAGAAGATAATTAAGGATTTAATGCACAAGCAGGCTACAAAGCAAGACATCACAGTTTCTGTAGGTGGTGGATCACCAGAACTGCCTGAAATCCAGCTTCTTTGGTGGATAAGACTAACATAGCTGTGATGTTTCTCTGATTCCAAAACTCTTTTCAACAAGTGTTTTACTAAGGCCCATTAGGGACATTAAACGATTACAATTTAAGCAGCAAGTACCTGCATGGAGGAAGAAAATGGGCATAATATAGAAAAGAGGATAGAGATAAATAGCCTACTCTTGCAGTGGATAAATGCTGGTTAACCAGAAGTACTCTGATATCTTTGAGATATATATATATATATTTGTGTGTATAGGTGTGTACAATGTATTTATATACATTTTAAGTGTGTAGTATATTTACGTTTCATATTTTAGTATGTATTATCTATAAATGAAGGACACACATATATAAATGATCAGAAAAGGGCAGGAACAGTAAACTAAGTGTGCTGATAATAACAAAAAAAGCACTACACAAGGATCTTATGAGGTTGAGTAACTGCATAATAAATTGCTAAATTAAATCCAGTGTAGTTAATTGTAAAGTGAGGCACCTCTGAAAAAATTATTTCTAACCTTACATATTAAATGATGAGTGCTAACTGACCGTTGCAATTCAGGAAATTGCTTTTGAGATTATGAAAATGTCAACTCAGTAGCACTCAGGAAAAACAAAATGAGAAAGAGAAAAATAGAAAATGTCATTATGTCACTGTATTAATCTCACCTGCACCTTTTTTCCCTGTATTTGCTGGTCCTCTCTAATTTAACAAAGGATATAGTAGAACTGGAAGAATTGCAGAGAAGGGCAAGAAGATTAACTAGAGGCATCGAACAGTTTTCATTCAAGGCACAACTGAATTGAATAATATTATTCAGGGTGGAAAAGGGGCCTTCTAGGTAGGATTCATCAGATTTGCAAAATCACATAGGGATTGGAGAGTGGTTCTGCATCAAATAGGTATTAGAGATGTGGAACCCCTTAGCAGAGTTTGTTTTGGATGCTCAAGGCTTAGATAGATTTAAGGAAGCACCAGATGAGTACTTGGGAAATAAATTTATTAAGAATTACTGATCACCTAAAAAAATATGTCTAGTTTGGGAGAAGTCTTGAGCTCAAAAACAGTAGAGGCTGGTAGAAAAGATGGAAAAAGGTATCTCACATACTTGATGGGTGCTTCCACTTCCCCATCAATGTCTGATCTTGGTAATTGTTGATGCGATGCTGGAGCAGACAGAATTCCATCTGGTCCAAGATAACCATTCTTATACTCAGAATTTTGGATTGGTAGAACTCTGTATCTAATCTCCTCTATTTTATAGTGAGATTTATATAATTTTTGAAGTGAAACTGGTAAAGTGTACCATTTTGAAAGAAGTGCAATAAACATTTCTTGATGGAGTTTCCCATACCATTCATGTGGCTGAAGCAGTGTGATGCTTTTCCTTTTGGCATCCAGAGCCATAGTCCCTTGAAACAAAAAGATTAAGGAACTTCTGGAGATTTTCTGCTGGGGCTGCACTGAGAGTTGCTTGTATTTTTCATTATAGCATTCTAAGGTTCCCCTTTCAGACCCATGAAACCCTGGTTAATTTGAATCTCTAGCCCATAGGAATTACACGATTAATTGCTTTGATATTTTTTAAAGCTTGAGTGCAGCTTCAGAGTTCAGCACCTCAAAAAGTCTCTGCCAAAACAAATGGTGCGTTGCAGTAATAAGAGTGCATTAGTAATGTTACATTTGAGGACCAATGTGCAGCTGTTTAATACAAAATATGTGTAACTTCTTACTATAGACAGATGTTTTACAGGTGTGTTGTTCTTATATGAGTAGTCTTCCAGGTGCTGGCACAGGGCCTTTACAGGTTCCTTTAAGGGCTTTAACAGTGAATCTCTTATTTCAGAGATTTATTTTCTGGTGTACTTAAGACTTCGCTGCCCAGTTGTAAACCCTTTACTGGAAGATCACAGCACATCAGTTACAGTGACCTGACAGCACATCCTTAAACCAACAGTTTGGATAAAGATACAGGTTATTTGGTATGATACTACTTGGTTTAGTTCCAAGATCTTTTCCTACTGTTCTAGGTGGGATCAAAGGACATCAAAACCTGTGTTGACCCTTTTTTTCTTTTTTCTTTTTCTTGTAAGGAACTGATGTTGGTCGCTTCAATTTTATCCTATAATTGAATGTGTTAGTGTGTTTATATTCTTAGTGTTCCATTAGTTTTCAAGAGGATTACTGTAGTCCTGTCAAAATAGGTAGTTTTCTCAAAGGAATTAGATAAATTATTGATAAGAAAAATTATAGGCCTCTAAAGTAAGACATATTTATGAGACTGCTTAAAGGTTTTGGTTTTTTTTCCCACAAGCTTGGAATAAAGCAGTCTCCTACTCATCCTTCCTGCAAAGATTGGTATGGAACAAATTTTTTCTTACCTTTACTTTTTTGTTGTTGTTGTTTGTTTTCTCTGCAGCACTAAAGCTGGGCCCAGAAGCATTCAAATTTGATGGTGGCGTGGAGGCGGTGGCAGTACGGCAGAACGAGAAGTATTACATCCTAAGGCCAGAGGTGATTGAGACCTACTGGTATATGTGGAGGTTCACTCACGATCCCAAGTACAGGCAGTGGGGCTGGGAGGCAGCACAGGTAACTCTGTTAATCATCTGTCACTAATTAATTTTGTGTATTTCCCCTTTGAAGCCACTTCAGTCTCATGGTAATGAAACACTTGGAGTGGTAATTGATTTTCACAGTTTCCTGCAAATCGGGGTACATATGAGGGTGCACACAGTTATTGCTGTTTTGCATTTGCTGAGTCAGATGCTCAGGTGAGAGGTGCATTCAGCATTACACAGCCCATGAGTTCAGGCATGGAAACAGAACTCCTTAGTCATGACTCCTACTGTTGTCAGTAGTGTGCAGCCCCTGAGAGTTTCTCTGCTTCCCTGAATTGCTCCAGCAGTCTTTGGAAACAGCTCAAAGCCAGTTTCAAAGATGAGAATAAACATTAAAGATAACAAGACAGTAATGAAATATTTTGACTACATCCAGAGGAGATGAGAGAAAAGCAAAGGAAGAGACAAACCAGGAGACTGGGTAAGTTTATTCTGTGGCTGAAAACCAGTTTTGCTCCAGAAGCAAGAGATCAAGAAAAGGTGAGAAGAGATCTGTTGAGATGCCGGTATTCAGAATATTTAGCCAAGCTCATTACTATCCATTCCTCAGCACAGCTGCAACACCTAGAAGAGGCCAGGTATTTTACAGTTGTGTATTAGTCCACATTTGTATTCCAGAATGCATTGCTGCTGTCTCCAAAACATTGTCTCCTTGCCTATGTAGATATTACAAATTCTTGCTGATGTAACCAAGCTCCTTTCAGAAGCTATGGCTGGATGATCCAAGCTGAGGTGGGGTCCTTTGTAATAGGTTAAAAAATTTACAGATGTAAAGATTTTCAAGCCAGAATCAGTCTCTTAAGCACACTGCAAAGCATCTATTTTAATTGCATTTTGCTCAGTTTTCTCCATTTGCTTTCATTATCTTGGTTCTCATTAATGCTTTCAAAACAAACCCTCCCTTCCTCCTCCCCTGCCTCCAGTTTTCTCTGTGTGCAGGGTAGGATTTTATTTTATCCTTCTGTCAACCTCCATTGAAGTTGTAAATCAAGCAGCCCCTGTGCTTAATTGCCTCTATCCTTACAGACTGCCTTCTTCTGCTTGTTGTTTCCTTGATACGAGATTTCTTTATCTAACATAGCCATAAATTATTTTTGACTTCTTCATAAATAATTTTGCAAACCCCTCCTTCCCACAATTAGGAATTTTCCTACCCCACCATTGTACTGACACAGAAGCTTGAAGCTTTTTGCTCCCCAGGATTTTCTGTTCATTGCATATAGATAATAAGTTCTTGTGTTTATCCCTCACACCTACTCACTACTTTTTCTTCTTCCCTATCACACACAGCCCTGGCTGTGTTTATTCCATCATTTATAAATAGAGAAGAAGCTGGTGTGACACGCAGAGCAGTTGGCTTACTGCTGTTGTACGACACTGTCTGAATTTGTCTTCCTTTTGCCTTCCAACCTCTGAAGCATACTTGGATTTATTATCTATATTTTTTGACAAAAGTTATGCACTTTAGTACAAATCCTATGCTTTGTCCAAGGCCTGTTCTGTTGCATCTCTCCAAATCCAGTGTCTCTGGGGGAAAAACCAGGAAGTTCAATCTTACATTCCCTCAGTGATCATAAATCCCTGTGACAGGGTCTCTATCTCTTTCCTGATGAAAAAAAGGCTAATTCTCCCTAATACTGTACTTAAGCACTAGAGACAGCATTCATCTCAATTGTGTTGGGCCCATCAAATTGGATGATGGTGTGCTGGGGGGCTGGCTGAAGTATTACAGAAATATGCATGGAGGATACTCAGGGTAAATACAGAAAATTACTAAAATCCTTTTCAGGCGAATTATTTGAAAGCAGTAAGAGCCACCATTTCACAACAGGCATGTAAAGCCAATTACTGATCTGAGCTGTGTGAATGAAGGGCTCAATTAAGAGCTGTGGACTTGTGTATCTCACTAAATAGGACTGCACCAGAGAGAGGCTGCTGAGTTCATCAGAGCTTCTATTAACAGTGAAAATAAATAGCCAAGACCTGAAGCTCAGGCTAACTTCAGGCAAACTGAGGGTTGATACTAAAATGGAGTGGAAAGACCCATAGCTCTCTGTCCTCATGAGACCTCAGCTGCACCCAGATTTGGGGTCCTCAGCACAAGAACGATGTGGACCTTTTAGAGCAGGCTCCAGGAAGGGACAGAAATATGATCCAAGGGTGGGAGCACCTCTCCTACAAAGACAGGCTGAGAGAGCTGGGGTTGTTCAGCCTGGGGAGGGGAAGGCTCCAGGGAGACCTCATTGCAGCCTTCTAGTACCTAAAAAGGGCTTATTTAAAGAAGCGAGATGGTGGTTTTATGTGGGCACATAGTGACAGGACAAAAGGCAATGGTTTTAAACTGAAAGGGGACAGATTTATATTAGATGTTAGAAAGAAATTCTTTACTGAGAGCATGGTGAGGCAGTGGAACAGGTTGCCCAGAGAAGCTGTGGATGTAAGTGTTCAAGGTCAGGTTGGATGGAGCCTTGAGCATTCTGTTCCAGTGAGTGACATCTGTACCCATGGCATTGAGGTTGGAATTAGATGATCTTTGAGGTCCTTTCCAACCCAAGCCATTCTGTGATTCTACTTAGAGAGGAGTAGACAGAAAAGAGCCAGACATAAGTTGGAGGTAAAAGAAATATGGTTTCACAGTTTCGTGGGTTAGAAGCTGTGAATATGACAGCTGGTGAAGAAACTGGCACAGTTTTCATGGGCATGTTGTTGGCACAGTCAAGAAAAGTTGCATATGCCACAAAAAACACCCTCAGAGAAACTGAGGGAGCTGGGGTCCAATCTAGAAGTATATCAAATTTTATTTCCAAAGAACTTAGGTTCATGTTGACCTCCCTGTATGTTATCGGCACTGAAATTTCATTTTTTGTCACTTTTGAGTCAAGACACATGTATTTGGCAGGAGTATACTGCTGAATATTCTCCTGTTCTATTCTGTATTTGAATAAAGGAAAGTAGAGAACCCACTACTTCTTGTAGCTTGCTCCATTATTTATTTGTTCTTGCTGTTAAAAAAACCCATGTTTTATTTCCCATTTGAATTTGCCTAGTTTCAGCTCTCAATCACTGGGTTTTCCTGTGACTTCCTATGCCATTTTTAAATGTCCTTTCCCCCATGTTTTCTTTCCAAAGAATTTTCATAGATTATAATAAGCAATGTCCTAGCAGGAACTCAGACTGAACTGTCTTACATGGCCATGGAAGTCTTGGAAGTGTCTCTGCATTCCAAAGGTTGTCTCTACCTTCCAGGCTAGCCTGGGTCTGCAGTTACACAGTCTTGATGACTAGATTTAGGATTATGTGCCTGGTTTTATGAAACTTATTTTGTTTTGCACCCAGTTACCAGCAGATTACGCTGTCTGCTGTTATTTACGTATGTCATTGTAGCCAGCAGCAGTGTTGCAGTGATTGTTAAAACTTCAGACTGCTCCTTGTGGATCTCTGTAAGAAGCAGCTCTATTTTGTGATGATTTTGCATTGCCAGTTCTTTCTTAGAGTGCTGCCAGTCAATTTTAAATTGAATTATATTGATATGGTATAGTGCTGCCTTGTCTTCTTATAACATCTTAAATACCACGGCAATTGCCTTAGAAGCTTTTAAGTTTATTGCAGCTTTGCAATTGCCTTTATTTGTCAAATTTGTAGCTCTCAAAGAATGAAATCAAGCTTGTGACCAAAATAGTTTTCTATAAAACCATGCTGATTGGTGTCAGTTATACTCTAATTTTATATACACACATATATATATATATGTATGTATCCATGTGTCTCTGTAATTGACTGGAACTAACATTAGGTATGCTGTCCTATAATTATTCAGTCTGCCAATGCCTCATAATGGTAGCAATATTACCTTAATACCCTTCCAGTCATCTTGGAGCTTCCCTGTATTCTCTGGTGCAATAAATTAAGCATTGTTTTATCAGGGAGACTGGTCTTCAGCTCTGGAGTGAAAGTGTATCTGGGTGGCAAAGCAGATGCCAGTGCACCAAGTGCTCTGAGGTCTGTGTGAAAACAGAACACTGAGAATTTCAAGTGGCATCTAAGCAGCTTGTCTGTGGCACCAAGTTTTTCAGCCAGTGTCCTGAAGTTCTGTACATTTTGGAATCAAGGACAAATTAATTGTTCATATTTTAAAATTTTCTGTTTGGATGAATAGCTGAAAAGCAATTTTTCAGAGGCTTTTTTCCTGTACAGTTCATTACTACCTGTATTATGTAGAACTCTGATCAGCCACGGTAAATCCTTTGCCTATTCTGAACACAAGTCTGCCTTCCCAAGGAGAAATTTCTGAAGATACAAGGTTACTTGGTAACTGTAAGGAAAAAAAAAGTTGTTCATAAAAAAAAAAAAAATAGATCATACATTTTCTCTCTCTAGGCTTGTAGACCTGATGGCTTCACCAGTTTTGCACTTAGTTACCCAAATATGAGACCTCTACAGCATAGAGGAGGATCTCAGTGCTATCCACTAGCTGCAATTTCCAAAATAAGCAAGTTTTGTCTCTTACACTGGCTTGGGGATTTAATTCTTCTGGAGGAAGGAGATGGTGCTCTAACAGTGGTACCATGTATTCCTTGTTTTCATTTTGCCACAGTCACTAGCAGGTTTCTCCTGTACAGGCTGGGGCACACAGCATCAGGGTTGCTGGCTGGTGGACCAGAGTCCTGATCAGGGTGTATGCTGGGAATTCTGGCAGGAGTTGTAAACACTGGGGCTTCCTCCTCCACCTTGCCATGCTTCAGAGCAGACACAAGGTCGGGTTCTGCATTATTGTAAAAGGGGATAGTGCCAAGAGCAGGCACTTCATTTTCTGCCTAAAAATGCTTTGGCTCTTGTTTATTCATAAAACACCTACCTGGTGGCTGTAGGAGTTCTGGGGAGGAATATGCAAATTGTTCTGTAAACAGCATATGCGTTATTTCTTCAGAAGCTAAGCAATTCATTTTTTTTCTTTCCTCTTTGTTGGTTTGGTTGATGAGTGTGGTTTGATTTTGTGTGGAGAGAGTGATGTTGGGGTTGTTTGTGTTGTTGATGTTGTTGTTTGGCTGCCATGTGGTAGCTAGCATCACTTTTGTTGTGCAAGAGCATGCAGACAAAGAGATTGTCATGGGTTAGATGTGTCACACACACCTTTCCCTTCACTGTAGAGAAAACCTGGTCCACCCAGCTCTCAGCATGTGAGCACTCTCAGTGTAGCCCTATCCTGCACCAGTAACCAAATCTGAAACTAATTCATCCAGACACTTTCTCCTTTTAGACTCAAATCCCAACAAAAAATGGAGCCTTTCCATCCAAACTTGGAGAAAGCTGTGCTTGAGATAAGGAATTACAGCAAGCATTAGATTTTGCCAAGAAAGACTGTACCTTTCTTGGCAGAAGTTCAGACTCTAGAGCCACAGCTATTCCAATAACATCCTTTTGCCAGTCTCTCCACTTGCTTTTCTAAAACCTTGCTTTTTGGAAAATTGAAAGAACTTTGTACAGTCTGGATTATTCTTTGGTCTGTGAACGGTCTGAGATTTCCACAGGGTAAGAGTATGTTCTAGGAGGAGGTCAGCTGAAGTACCTGCTGTGACTTACTGTCCTGGGTATCCTGCTCAATTTTTTTGCTTTTCCTCCTGATTTCAGTGACAGCATCTGCTGACATTCTTTGTCCATTTGCCCAGTGGAAAATTCCTGTCTGTCTCCCAGTATTTCTAGTATGCAAAGGCAATACTGAGGTCCTTGAAGAGTTAGTTTTGATTGAATCTGTTTTCTCTGCATAAAAAGGGCATAATTCAAAACTTATTTGCTCCCCTGCCTTGACTCCCCTCAGCTTCTGCTGAGTATAACTAGCAAAAATCAGAATTAACAGAAATGTGGGCCTAAAGCACCCTGTGGAGAGGAGCTTCATACAAGGCTATTGGGCTGAATCATAGATGACTGAGCTACAGGTGGCTGTGTTCAGTTGTTGGTAATGACAGACATCCCGAGACAAACATTTTCCTTCATCCCTGATTCTTTTCTGTCCCTGCATGAATCTATTAAAAGAGTTGCTATCTGCTGAGGAAGCACAGTCAAAGCAGCAGGGAAGCACAAATAACCTGTGAATCATTTCTTCAGAGCCAGTTTTAATGGCTGATATCCTTGTGTGCTGTAAGGTCGTGCATGCCAGTGGAATAATGAAAGTGTAGGCGAGAGGTGCTCTGAGCTACTAACGCTTTCTTTCCCGTCTCCTCCTCTTCCACTGTGCTTTTCACAGTACTGTGTTGGAGCTGGGGAGGGGAAGAATCCATTGGCCCCTTCCTTCATGGAATGTGCATGGATTTAAACTCCATGCTTTAAAGGTAAAGAGCTCTGCTGCAGTCCAGCATGCAAGCTGACTTGAGTTTCAGCTGTATAAACAGGAAACAGAGAATAACGTAGGTAAGAGAAGGAGATGAGGGGAGAAAGCAGCAGCTAGAAGAGTTTACAGGATGGAATCAACAGTCCATAAAGATGAGAACAGTATTTTATTTCTACTTTCAATAAGTCTCCATGACTAGCTACCAATCAAAGAATTCCTATAACTCTTCAGACTCTTCCAGCTCCAATATCCAGGGATGTTTGTTACCTTCCTGTGCACATCACAGCACTTATTCCATTGATTTGACTGATGTTCTACCCAATGTCACCAATGAGGAACTGCATGAGCTCAGAGAAAAAGTCTGCGGAGTCCTTGTCATGTCATCAATATCAGCCAACAGTAAATACCCAGGAAAGAAAGTGTTCTTCCCCAGAATACTTTCTTAGCATGTAGCAGTTTGCCAAATGTGGTGTCACTAATAACCCTGGAAGGATGCGACTTCTGTATGTGTCCAGCATAAACTGGTAATGTCCATAGCATCTTTCAACAAAGAGATTCACAGCAGAGAAATGCAGCACAAAAAGAACCACCTTCTTTGTTCATCAAGCTTGATGCTTTAAAATTTCCAAATTTTGTTCTATAGTTAAATTCCCTGTGTCTTTTCCCTTCCCTTTTGCAGGCAATTGACAAGTATTGCCGAGTTAGTGGTGGCTTTTCTGGTGTCAAGGATGTGTATTCCTCATCTCCTACATATGATGATGTACAGCAGAGCTTTTTCCTTGCTGAAACTTTGAAGTAAGTACTTTTCACTTTTGCATCTTCCTGTAAAAATTCACATCTAAATTCTAGAAGATGCTCCACAGGTAGCTAAAGGAGACAAAGACTGATTTTGAGTATTAGGAGCACCAAATGGAATAGAAAACATGTCCTGAAAATGGCAGATTTTGTGTCTAATTCAGGCATCACAGCATGTTTCACTGGGAAAAGGGGACTCCAAGTTCATTGTGTCTAAGGGGATAGTGTGGCTATTCTATCCTTCTGCTGGCTCCTTACCAAATTCCTCCAGGTAATCACAATACTTTGTTGCCTTGTGTTACCATTATAAAAAGGAAGTCAGCCACTGCCACCTCCTCTGTTGTCTTCTTTAATTTTATTTCACTTACCCTTCAAGTTCATTTTCTGGAGACTAAAAGCAGTGGTCCCAAAGAGAGAGGCAGCAGTTTCAAACAGGTCAGGGCAGAGAAACAGTACCTCTCCAGGAGCTGATGGTATATGACTGATCTGCCTATAAAAGCCAAATGAGAATGAAATCTGCTCCTAAGGGACTTGTGTGGTGGCAAGGCTGACTTTTGATGTATCACCAGAATCCTGTCTGCATCTTAAATAATCACAAGGAGATCTGAAAATTCACTGATGCATCATTCAGTAACTGGATATATTATAGTGCAAGCATTGCAGATGGTGGCATTTCTAGGAAAGAACTCAGAAATTTTTACTGACTTTTGGTTTGGAGTATTTCCTGCTTGTGGAACAAAATGAAGGTTTATTGAAGAGCTGAATATTAGATGTTTTTGACATTGATGCAATTGGCATAGCCCAAACCAGAAACTGGTTTCATGAGATACCCAAATGAAAATAAAGACAGAAGAGTTGGGTATGATGTTATGAGAAAAATGTTCTGAGAAGATGTTCCTCAGAAGAGGGATGTAAAATATGTCTTAAGCTATACCTGCTGTAGTTTTTTCTGCTATTGGTGATTTTCTCTGTATATTCATTCCTCTCAAATTCAAATTTGGTAACTGTCCCAAATATGCTTTGTTGCTGCTTGGATACTTCAACTCATCAGAGATACACAGCAAATTTGAGAGTTTTGAGCAGTACCTGGCATGAAGGTACCTGTTGAGTGGGAAGGACCAAGATGGAGAAATAGGTTGCTTAAGTTATTCAAAGGAAAAGTGTGAATCAAATGAGGAAGGTGAGTTTGAGTAAAATGAAATATTGCTGCTGTGGTGAGAAGGAGCTTGGAGAGCTGCAGCAGGAGAGAGCGAGGCAGAAGTACTGAGGAAAGGAAAGGCCTGATGCTTTAAAGACAAATGAAGAGTGTAGAGAAGGAAACAAGATATGTGTGACAAAACTGAATCATCCTTGCAAGAAATTTTTATCTGTAAACAGTAAATAGATGAGGAAGGAAAGAAAAAGTAAGGCTCCACTGACTGGATTGTGGATAGAGCTGGCAAATAAAGGCAGCAGAAGAATTGATCAGGCAGTGACACAGGGCTGAAAGCAGCAGACACTCCCAGTGTCTGAAGAAGAGAGAGCAAAGGAGCAGCAGAACAAGTGTGTGCATTCTGGATGTGGCAGAGTCCACTAACGGGAATGACACCCTTTCCTTGTCAAGTGCAGCAAGAGCTGTCTTTTTCTGGATGGCAGGAAAGCAAGCAGGAGGTGAGAGATCCTGTACACCCACGCTGTTGTGCTTGCACTCACACAGCCAGGTGTTCTGTAACAAGGAAAATTCATTTGAGTTTTAGCTGTTGTGATAGGAAACTTTGACAGATCCCTACTACCAGTATGTCCTACAGAGTTACAGCACAGCCACATTCAAAGTGTGCATTAAGAAAAAAGGAACAACAAATATTTTTTTTTTGCATGTGTCCAGTAATCCTTATTTTGTTACGTGCTTTATGTCCTCTGCATTTTATTATAATGTACAACATCTGTGAAAACCTCTGCACAATCTGTTGTCCCATTTCCTCTCACCAGAAGCTGAACCAGTTTCCAGAACAGTGATCAGTGATGACAAATCAGACACCTGCCATGGTTTAGTAGCTTCTTCACAAAATCTTTGGCTTGGATTAAAGAGGATTAGTAATTTCCAAGTGGGTTTCCTCCATTAAGAAAAGCTTTTTGACAACTTCTCTGCTCTTCTGGTCCCCAAATACTTGTGGTTGGGGTCTTGACGTTTGTTTTACACTGCAGATCTTTGAAGGGAGACTCAAAAAACAAAAGTTTCTTGGAAAGATTAAAATGTTGTCTTTATAACAACTTTTCATTGAAGGACTTGATCATAATAAAAATGAGTTCAGATTGTCATAATAGGGAAGGTTGTGTGTGTGCTGTACAAAGATTGAAAGCAAGTAATTTGTTTATAACTGTAGTTGCTGAACTGTGAGGCCTGAAGATGGTCTGTTGCTCCTGTCTGCCTGTGCTCTGCTTTAATACCCACGTTTTTCATCTCTGTCTTCTTGTCCAGGTATTTGTATCTGCTTTTCTCCAATGATGATCTTCTACCATTAGACAACTGGGTTTTTAACACAGAAGCTCATCCTCTGCCTGTTTTACATTTAGCCAACACCACACTGTCAGGAAATCCTGCATATCGATAAAAACAGCTCTATGAAGAGGAAGAGAGACTGTTTTCAGCTCTGTTTTGTTTACATGGACCACTTGAGACTTTAGCAGGAGGGGAGACAGACAGACAGACACTTGGTAAACCTAGACCCCCGAGTCAAGCAAGTATTGGCATGGGAAACGAAGCTCTTCAACATATAAATAAGTTAAAAGTTCTGTTTTATACATGACCAAAACACATGAGTGTGATTTTTGCAGGCGGAGACTTCACACGCTTTGAACCCTGGCAAGACATGGAATCTACAGATACTATTAATGCAACAGCATGAGAAAGAGGAGGCTTTCCCTTCCAGGGAAAGGAACTTGCTGATTGCTGTTGCAAGGAACAACACACAGTCACCTCTTCAGATTGGGTGGGTTCCAAATACCTAGGTTTTCTTTTCCTTTCTTTTTTTATTTTTTTTCAAATTTTTTTATGATGGCATGAACAAAGCAACACCACTGCACCAGCAGCATCAGGATTTGAATTTCTTTCTGTACCTGTCTGAATTTTCTAAGGAGCATCTGTCCAGACTGGCAGCCATTCTCAGAGCCTCGTATCTGTTAGACCTAAAGTACAAAAAATATTGCCTCCTCATTTCCCCTTTTCAAAATAATGCTTATATCCAAAAAAGAAAAAACAATTAGTAAGCATTTGCTTTGTAGTTCACTGTCAGCAGAGTGGGCTTAGTTCATTTGGCAAGCTCAGTCAGAGAGTCTGGAGCATATCACAGGAGTAGGAAGGAGCCTAAGTTTCCCTTCCTCACAAATTATGTCACATGAAAAAAAACATTCTCCTCTTAGTCCTGGTTCTTTTAGCTAAATAAAAAGAGATGACAACATGAGCATAACTGTTTCATGATTTATATAGGAGGATACAGTATATGGAACTAAAAGAAGCTCCCCTTGAGCTAAGCAGTGAGAGCTTGCTGCTCTGTATTTTTGTACACAATCTGTTACATTTCATTCTTTGGATACTATTCACAGAACCTTCTTTGCAGGTATATGGGTGTCTGACAGAAGCCTAAAACTGCTTTTGAATTACTTTACAAAACTTGCTTTTCTTCTGGGTGCTTCAGTACAAATCCAACATGATCTTTGGAAGCAGCCTAACATCTCTCATATGTGACTGGAAAAAGAAACTGAAGAGTCTCTTCTTTCATTAATTTATGATGCTGCCAAATGCATGGGGTATTTTCAAGTACATCATGGCTGGGCTGGATAGTATCCCTTAAATGGAGTCTTTTTCAGTCTTCATTTATTTGCTAAAAAAAGTTCCATCTTTCCAGATTTTCTATCTTTTCAGTTTTGTCTTCCTCAATCTCTTTTACTGTTGTTCAGATAATTACAGCTCAAACTATTCTTTTTATTCCCCTATATAGCTCTCAGATCTTTTTGCCATGGTGACTGGCTCCTTTGTTGACAAACAGCCTGCAGGTTTCCCTCCTAATTAGTGCACAGGTTGAGTCTTTAAAAAATCTTGATGATGTTTTTTACTGAAGCAAGTAGGAGAACTCTTCAGTGAGCTACAGCAGTACAGCATCAGATTTAAAGGGAGTGAATGCTATTTTCCCTCCTCAAAAACATTTTTATATGAATTTTTTTTAAAAAAAACTTTGCTGCTTAACATATTATATTACATCTGACTGTAGAGTTTCCCCCCAAAATTACTTTTCATTTGTCTGTGTCACTAACTTAGACAAAGAAATCATCATATGATCTAAGTAAAAATGCTGTCAGATGCTTTTTTTTCCAGACAGTTACTTTAGTTTAAGAGGAAGAAAACATGGGGCTTGGGAAAAGTTTGAGTCTCAATGTTTGTACCTTATTTCTAGTTACTTTGTTACTGTAATTTGCAGCAGTATCCTAAAAATAATTTGAGAACTTATAAAGTAATTGGTATAGTAAACAATACTGATTTCAGTAACTGTTTAGTTAAAATTAGAAGTAGCTTAATAAATGGATTCTTCTTACTGGCCCCACATTAATTTATTTTTCTAATTATTATTCAGTGACTTACTGAAGAACTAGTAATTTTTCATTTTCCCAAGTTCAGATATGCTGTGTTTTCAAATTGTTTTTCTGATCCTATGAGAACTGTTATTAGTTTAAAACTGCAGTCGATTGCCTTGTTCTCCTACATGTCTCTGGGTATATAGAAGAAAGAGGAAAAGCAGACCTTTCTGTTAAGAAAGAAAGAAAGAAAGATTTAAAAATAATAAAAGCACTTTCTGCCCCATAGACCTGTCCCTGTACTCCTCCTGGTAAATGCAGGTGTAGAATGGCTGCCAGTCTGTTCAGAGAAATGTCAAGGAGTCCCAGAAACAGCAAACTTGCTTCTCCTCCTCCATCCCCCTCTTGTGAATTAAAGAGGAACCCTTCAAATTTTCAAACTTCACCATGAATCCCAGTGGGTTAACTTAATGTCACAAGAATGTCTGAATTGAAGACTAAGCCATTTCATGTTATGGGATGGTATTCTTCTCAAAGCAGATGTACAGTACTGCTGTTTCTTCTTTGTGTAGATAAGCAGCAGGAACTAAATAAAGAACACTTGTTTCTTGTTTCCCAGTCACCCCAATAACAGTCACTTTATTCTCCATCACTCTTTAAAGTACCAACTGGCCTTTTCCTCCAGAAGCTAATGATGTGCAGAGTCTATGAAAAACAATGCATTTTAAGGACTAATTGCTGTGTCTTTCATAAATTTCATCCTGAGATTTCCTAGATCAAGCAGAGTTTGAAGGTTATGGGTGTTGGCCAAGGTACATGCTTAATTACCAGGCACCACAGATACTGAAACTTCAGACTGAAGTGATGTGCCCTCCTTCTGAGTCCTTCACAGAAAAGTAGGTTCTGATCTGCAAAATGGCATTATGTGCAACCCAAAGTTCAGACTGTTTTCCCTCTGGGTACATAAGGTACAGTAGAATGTTGCCATTTCATTCTGTTGCTGCTGTCTTACTTTCTTGAAGATAAGAGTGTAAATTTAAGCACAAAAATGACTTTTTAGTCCTAGCTGTTTCTGAGTCTTGCACTGTACTCTCTAACAAAACAATCCTCATTCTCTCTAGGTAGCTGCCCCATTTTACAGCTTCTACAATACCCTCTTCCCTTACAGAATGAAATAAAAACCAGAAAATCATGTGCATTTTTGGCACACTGGATTTGGGCAAGAGCCTGGAAATCCCCAAATTGTCTATTTCCTGTTTGCATGCAGTCAAAACAAGGATGTATGGTTCTTTTCCTAATCCAAGCCTCAAATTTGCCTCTTGGTTGGGATCTGCCAGCAATTTTTTTCCTAACAATAGAGCTTGACTTTTCAAAGAGGCCAGATTTCTGCAGCTTCCATTAACAACCCTGGAGCTGTGCATGTCCTGCAGTCAAGAAGTCAACTTCTTAGAATTGTCCTCTAAATAAAAAAAATACCTTGAAGGATATTCTGAGTGTTAACTTTGCTGCACAATATAGTCCTTCAAACTGAATGTTCAAGGAAAGTATAGAAAATAGCAAGTGCCCTGGAGTAGAAGGAAGAGCAAGTAGTTCCATGTGCCAGTCACACCTTTGCTGTTCCTTCAGCTCTCTGCTCGAGATTTCTGAATCACTGTGTTCTAGCTCCCAAACACTGACACATTCCCTCACAGTATTTTACAACATTTGAATATTGCCTGGGTTCTGAAAGGTGACATTAATTACACACTCCCTGTAATGCCATCCTTTAAGGTTAGAGGTGCACCCCCTCAGCAAAGCCCTGTTGGTATTCACACTAAGCCTAGACCATGTTTATAAGGGGACAAATAAGAAACAGACTTCTTGATGCCAGAGAAAAATGAAAGCAAGCTCTTGATCCATACTGTAGTTGGGAGATCCCTTCACCCCTAGTAAGACATCCCTCTTTCACTCCCTGAATCTTGAGAAAAGTCTTCTGACTCAAGAGTTTGAGTTGCCATACACAGAGGAAGCCCAGGCTCTTTTGCAAGTTGTGTGCAAGCTGCAGCAGAGATGATAAGCACGAGCTGCTTCAGCTGTCAGCGTCTTCTAACGAACTGCTCTGTAATTGCCCAGGAAAGTTGGGAACCACCAAAGTCAGAGGAGACAGCCTGACCTGTTACAGTGAATTGTTGCCTTTAATCCTAATTGCTTGGTGGAAGTTGGATTTGCATTCTGCCTTTATTCTTGCTTTGTCTAAAACTGACAGATTTTTTTTTCCTCCAAAATAATAAAAGGGCAAAAGTCTATCTTCTGATGTGGAAACCTTCTGCCTCTGACCTGGAATCCTGCATATGTACTTTTTACAGATTAAAAAATAATATTGTATATAAAAAAGATTGAATAAAGAATGTCTTTAAGTGAAAAGAGTGTGGTTTTTCTCCTTTGCCTCCAAAAGCAGCATCCTGTAGCACTGAAGTGTGAAGCTGACCCTATTCCAAAGGCGTGGTGGTGCTGCAACTTTTCTTTCCACTGCAGCTCTACTAAGGACTTAGTCAACTTAAACATGTATCAAGACCCCCTGTTGCAAATTTAAACCCCTGTAGCTTGTACTTGCTTCTGACAGATCCCTGTAGTGATCAGATGGCTCTCAAGATGCAGCTTCAGGCACAACACTTCAAGGCTGTTCCTGGGTGTCATTGTGAAAGCCACCAAACCTTACAAAAGTTGTGTGAAATTGTGTGAAAGTGGCTAAAAGGTCCAAAGATCCTTTTAGATGAGGGTAAAGGGTCAGACAGACAAGCAGTGGTACTAAATAATTAAGCCACAAGGTTAAACCCCCAGCTTTTCTTGAGACTTCAGTAGCCAGTGAGTTGGGCAATAACATCTGTCTGTCCATTCCTCTGCTGTCTGGGAAATGGAAAGTTTCCAATTAAGTGTTACTCACAGGGAAACTGCTATGTGGCTTCAACTGAGCTTGTTTTTCCCCTGCATCTTGAAATTCTCTGGAACTGCTGCTATATTTCTGTTTTTTCCAGTACAACCAGTGAATAACCAGATTTGCTTTCTGATTCACTTTAACTTTGCATAATCCTTTCTGTCTGACATCACCCATGTTGCTTATACATGGTACCTTGTTTTCAAGATGCAATGATCATAAGAAGAAATTGCCTCCTAAGTGTCATAACTGAGTGCAACACCTGGCCCCTGCTGCACTGCCATGCCATCCTCCTTGAGATCCAGTTTTTCATCCATGTGTTGCTCCATAGCTTCTTGCACTGGCACATTCACGCTGCACCCAGCTCCCAACTGCAGCGTCACTTCCAGAGCAGCAGCTTTTGCATCCTTTGATCTCCCTGTGGTGTCCTCAGCCCCTGAACCACCTCACTGGGATTCACTTGCTGTAGCAAGGTGTGTCCTGTCCTTTGTGGTTGCACTGCATTGTCTGTGCCTCTTCAACAGTGAAGTGCTTCCTGCCTCTGCTTGCACCTCCTCTGAAGCAGACGTTCTTTTGCATGTTCTCTGCCCAAGGGATATATATAGGGAATATCCTCTTTTATCTCTCCGCTGGCACTCTGCCTGCATGTCACCCACCCCCCTCCCTTCCCTTGCAGACTCTGTGATTGTGTGTGCTCCTTCCTGGAGACCGTGTGTCTTTCCTATGCATATTAATTAGCTGTATTTAAAAATCCTGAAATTAATCCTTTAATGGGTTATTTTTAGCCTTTTTCTTGTAGCTCTGGGAGCTGGCTTCTCTCAGTGCAAAGTCATAGGCTTTCTGTGGGCTTTGGAAAGGAAGCATTACTCTATCTTTGCTGGTTCACGTGTGGGATGTGTGAAGGCTGGCGATGGTGTGGTTGTTTTTTTAATATGAAGAGCAAGAGTCTTTTTGACAATATTTCAGGCTGAGGCAACCCCCATGAGAAATGGTTTGAGAAAGAGCAGTCACTCATGTAGCCAAACTTAACTTGCAGGTAAAAATTCAGGGAAGAATTTGGGGAGGAAGGGAAAAGCACCGTGTGTTCATGTGTACCAACAGTGTCACTGCTTTCTTAGGTGGTTTCCGAGTAGTCACAGGTGACAGGTGTGATGTCTGTCTGTAATGGTAAGAAGAATTTGGTTGCAGAAAAATCTAGAAAGAATTGTCAATACAGAGAATAAAGGATCAGATAATGCTGATGCCTCTAACAGCAGAAGACAAAAGAGATTTAAAAAGTGAAAATGAAAAGTTGCTCCTCCTGGGACAAGGAGCAAAACCTTTCACTGTAGTCTGTGATGTTGTCAATATGAAATTGGTAACAGAAAAAAGGGAACATATATGGCTGAACATACAGTCAGCCATAATATACAAATCATCAGTGCAAGGTGAAAAAAACAAGTGAAAATTAAAATGGTTGTGCTGAGTCAAAACTAATGTCTGTCTGACCTCGTATCTTGACTCAACTCTGATCAAGAGCAAACTCCAACAGAGGAGCAGGAAAGTGAATTTTGATACTTCACAAACATAGCCTGAAGTGATGTGCAGCTTCCTGAGCCATAGGTGGTTATCGTGGTATTTAATAGGCCTTGACATCCATGGAGGGGGGCTGTTCTCTGGAATTAGTCCAGTCACTCATTGAATCAATAGTGGCTGTCAGGGACAGAGCAAGCTCTGCCAAGGAGCCTCATGGTGCTGGCAAGGCATCCGTGCACTGGGAGGCCGTTTCTGATGACACAAAAAGCATGTCAGTGCTGTGCAGAGATGGGTGAACACTTCTGAGATGTGCTCTGTGGTTCTGGTCACCTGTGTTCAGGAGGGCTTGTCTCAGTGGAGACAGGAGTATTGAGGCTTACCAGGGAATGGAGAGTTGGCATCAGGAGAGGTGAGAGGAATTCACAGAGAGGATATCTGCTGTCCACAACACAATCAAGTGGTTGGTCAGCCTGGGAGAGAAAAAAACTGTTTTTCCTGGAGGACAAACCTTGCACAAAGGCCCCACACAAACTGATATCTGCAACACCTGCATAATTTCTGACAAGGATGTCCTAGGAGTAGAACACATGTTTATCTGCTGAATAAAAGGGTGATGTTGTGTGCTTGCCTGCAGTTTCATCTACCTGAATCAAGGATGTAGGAGGTCCTTTGCTGTCCTGCATTCCAGAGCTCCTGTGGGATCTCTAAGTCTAGGGTTGAATTTACAAAAGCTCTTTCCTTTGCTCTGTATTCTGTTGCTAGGGCAGGGTGAGTGTAAAAGGCCATGGAATCAGGAAGCAAAAAGCCTTTCTTAACTTCATGGATGGGAGTTACTCACTACATTTGCTATGCTGTTTGAGTAATGATGAATAGAAATTCACCAAAAGACTTCCTATTAAGTTTTCTAACACGGTTATCCAATGACCTTTTGCCACTGGATTTTCTGTGGAGAAATCAGAAACAGATTGCAGGGTGTTGGAGCACGGTGTTAACAACAGAGGGACACCAATCTCTTTTGATCTAAAGACTGTTGCTGAACAAAACCCTAAGTAACTAAGAATATTATATTAAAACAAAGGAGTTGTACAGTCTGCAAATAGAGTCCTTTGTGCAGTAATTCTTACACAGCAAACTAAGGGAAGATCACCAGTACCCTCAAGAGAGAATCTCTGAAGATACTCTCTGTTGCATGCATTTAAATTCTTTCTGCTCCCAGTTCTAGATGGCTCATCTTGTCCTTTGTTTGGGTACACATCCTGTTATTACTTGGGGCGCTTTATGCCTGTGGGCTATTTCTGCACTAATTAATGTTCTCATCAAGGGATTTCCATGACAGTTCTCTGGCATTTTTGCAAGTGTTCTCTTAGCTCAGCACTGATACATGGTCATGCATTTTGTACACTTCAGCCAAGCACATAATTTCAAAGAATGCACAGATTCTTGCTGTTAGTGTGCTCAAATCTTAAAACCAGTGTAACTTGAGCAACCATTTATGTCAGACCAGTACTACAGTCTGCTAAACCTTATGCCAAACTCCCACACTGTACTTCTACTTGTATTACAGCAAGGTTAGGTTTTCAGGTTCTCATTAGATATTTTGCAACTGAAGTGCAAATTTTCCACAGGGAAAAAATCCTCCAAATCTTTGAATGCACACCAGCCATCAACTTGTGGAATTAATTGCTTCACTGTGAAGCAGGCTTTGATGACTTCAGTGACAACAGTGAAAAATTCACTGCCACATCCAGGTGACATTGTTACGCTGACTTTTTATTAGCTTAAATAATACACAAATGCTCCTTTTTCAAGTGTGTCCCCTAAGAAAAAATTTCAATATACTGCCTCAAATTTCCTCCAGATCCTGCTCATGTTGTTTCTTAATAGAAGTCTATGGGTTAAGCACATCCAGGCT